TTGGTCGGTCTTCCTCTGCCATGGGGATCTGGTGGTATCCTGAGAACATGTCTACGAAGCTTAGCATCTCATGATATGCCGTGGAATCCACCAATTGATCTATGCAGGGCATCAGGTAGGAATCTGTGGGACATGCTCTGTTGAGGCTCGTATAGTCCACGCACATTCGTCAATCTCCTGATGGTTTTGGCACGAAGACCACGTTCGACAACCAAGTGACATAGGCAGTTTCCTCGACCAAATTAGCGCCCATGAGCTTGTCCACTTCGATCCTAAGCGCCGCCTCCTTTTCTAGCGATAGGTTCCTGCGTTTTTGCTGCACTGGGCGCCTGCCCTCTTCGACTGCCAACCTATGCACGGCCGTTTCGGGAGCGACGCCCGGCATTTCCAGAGCACTCCATGTGAAAAGTTCTGCGAACTCCTTTAGAAGAGCTATCAGACTCTCTTTCATTTCACCGGGCGCCTCTGCCGATATCCTCACCTGTCTTTCCGGGCGCCCTTCGTCCAACGCCACCAAAAGTTCTTCGTCGGCAGCTTCGGCTCGGGGCGCCTCTTCCGTAACGGTCTCCAGCATATTGACTCTTGCTCTGGCGCATCGTCTCTTGCGCCCAGCTTCTTTTGCGTAACGCGGAGCGCCCAGTCCGCGAGCTACACCCACTCCTTGTGGAGCGATGAACTTCAAGGTTTGGTGGCAATTGGAGGCCACCCCGTTGAATAAGGCCAGGAGGGGCCTTCCTAGGATCGCATTGTATGGCGATGGGCAGTCCACTATCCCAAAGTCGATGGCGCGTGTCGCCCTTTGTTCCCCGTCGCCCAAAGTGACAGGTAGGCGCACTCTCCCTATCACCTTGGCGGGCGCCCCCAAAAATCCGACCAGCACGGACCCCGATGGTCTGATCAACTCCGGCGCCAGCTGCATGCGGGCTACCGTATCCTTGAACAACACGTCCATGGAACTTCCCGTATCAACGAGCATCCTCCTTACTTTGCATCATGCCACCACCCCTTGTATCTCCAAGGCGTCTATGGATGGGAACATGCACGCCTCTTCAGGCTCCCTATTGAAACTGATGTCGATAGCCTCTTGTACATCGGTCGAAGCGGCTCTTAGTCGGCGGCTTGCTTCAAATTTTTCCCTCAGATATACCGTTCCCGAAATGGACTCAATGGTAAGTCGTATTCGCTCGGGCGCCTTTTCTTGGTCGAGGGCGTAGGGCGGGGGTGGCAGCTCCCTCGCCCCTTGCTCTATGCCTGTTACGCATGCACGATGCACCCTCTCTTCAGGTTTCTTGATAAATCGTTGAGCATCCCCCTATCCGTCAGGCCTTGCAGCTCGGTCTTCAATTGGTAGCAGTCAGCCGTGTGATGCCCCACCTCCCGGTGAAAATCGCAATATCGGTCCAAGTTTCGTTTGTTGGGCTGTCCTCTCATGGGGCCCGGCCACCGGATGTGATATCCTTTCTCCTTGACGTGCTGGAGTATATTCTTCAGCGTGTCATTGTATTCTGCAAAGGACCCCGCCCCCCTAGGCGCCGGGCGCCCGATATCCATTCTTCTCGGCTGGGAGTGGTTTACGGGCGCATATCCGGGTCCACTCGGGGGATGCGGTCTCCTTGTCATCTCAACTTCTTCTCCCCTCGTCTTTCGCCTATCCCTATCTGCCCTTCTGGCCGCCAAAGTTTCTTCGAGCATGATCACCTTCTGCACTCGGTGATCCAAGTCCTCCGTGGATATCACGTCCCTCTTTGCCAGCGCCCTACACAACTCCTCGCTGGTGGTACATTCGTTCAAGCACACTCCCAATACCGACGGCTGGGCGTCCTTTACCGCCAAGGCTACCGAGAGCCATCTTTCGTAAAATTCTCTCAGCGCTTCCCCCTCTCTTTGTTTGACCTTGAATAGGGTGCCTATAGTCAGGGAGCGACGCTTCCTGCTGGCGAACTTTGCCAAAAACATCGCCGCAAACTGCTCAAAGCAGTCAATGCGCCCCTCTTCGATTTGAGGGTACCAGTCAAGGACCACGTCCGTGAAGGTCGACTGGAACACTTTGCACAGGGTAGCGTCCGAGCTGTTGTAAAGCTGCATCTTGGTGAAGTATCCATTCAAGTGATCATCCGGGTCCGCCGTCCCGTCATAAGTTGGGAGTGGGGGGATGTTGGTTCCCGCGGGCTCCATCAGTGTATTCCGCGTCGGGGGCTGCCCTACGGAGCAGTGACGTGATAGGCGCCCCAGGATTCCTCCGTTCCATCTACTGGTATCAGGACCACCGCGGTCAAGTGGGCGCCATAGGCTTGGGCGCCTCAAATGCCCGGACTCGCTTTCCGTCTCCGCCACCCTTTCCCTTTTCTTCGAGGATGGGCAGGGCGTCATCCCTTCTCCCCTCTTCAAGGCCTCAACCTCCCGTCGAAGCACCTCGATCACCTCATCCTGATCCTCGATGATCCTAAACAGCTCCTTTTTGGTGACCGAGGCGCCTTCCGAACATACCGTCACTCTCCTCACCTTCGTCCATCTCAGGCGTCAGCCCTCTCATCCGCTCGGATTGATCTTCCGTAATCTCTTCTCCCCCTCCACTCATAGGTGCCTCTACACTCATGATTCTCGGTTATACTTCCCCTTTCTGGCGCGCCAATTGTTTGTGCCTCGACGCCTCGCTAGCGCACCCACGTCCTTCCTTGATCGGCGCCTGCCTACACACACTCACACAGAGGGGGGCGCCTCGGCCCGTTAGCCCTCCGACGATCAAATCAGTATCTTAGAGAGAATGTGAGAGAATCCAACCTGTGTAAATGCTACCAACTGCCTCTATTTATACGCACCAAATTCGAGATGGATCTACTCCACGTCACCATCTCATTAAATGCTTTGTACTTTCATTCCCGTCAGAAGCCCCAACTACCTTGTCTGGCTTCTGCCAGTTGGCAGGCGCCCACGGGCGGGGGACCACTTGCCAGCTTGGACCTCTTTGGCCCCTAGTGCCTTGTTCTCCATGCTTATGCTGCCCAATGGGCTTTGTGGGCTTCTTCTCCTGGCCCATTGCCTTGGGCTACTTTCAGCTGGATGGGCTTTCCCTTGGGCCCTCCTTTGGGCTCCTTTAGTGATACCCCCAACAAATATCATGCATGATGTTACATGAAATCTAATAATACAAAATACACAGAGTTCTTGAAATCTTTGTATGCTATGTTGTCTTAGTGATTGCAGCATAATGGATATGCCTGACAACTACTCTTCTTTTTTGTTTTCGGATAAATGTATCTCAGTATCTGGCTTCATTTTGAGGCAATAATATGAAACAGGGAGTAGCTGCATACCTTCTTTAAGATATCTTGAACTTATTTACAATTGAAATACCGCTGCTATTTTTAGCGAACTTTTCGAATCCTAACACCTCTTTACTTCCAACATTCCAAGCTTGACTCCTTTTTCACATTTCATGTCTTTACATTTGCAGGTGACTTTTGACCACAACAACGGGACGGGATACGGTGACAACCCCCTTAGGGGTTGTCAGATTCACAACCAAGGGTATTTTGGGTATGCAAAAAAGAATATATTAATTACCCTTTTTGTATTAATTATATTGGGAATTAAAAACCCATATTAAATACAATTTTTTTTGAAATTTAAATCCTATACATTAATATCTCTATCTATCTCTCTCTCTCTCTTCCTTTCTCCAGCGGCCATTCCGCATCGACCGACAAACTTTTTCTCCGGCAGACTCCCTCCGGCAACCTGAAAAAATGTATCAGTGCGTTAAAAAGTGTACCAATCTATTAGTCTACTGGTAATTAATATACCAGTGCTAGTGGTACGCTACCAGTACGTTAAAAAATGTACCAATACTAGCGGTACCAGTAAAAAATGTACCAGTACTAGTGGTACGCTACCAGTACAACGTTACCACTACCATATTGGTAGCGGTACCAGTAGAGAATAACACAACGCTACTAACACTGGTAGTGGTACTAGCGGTACCATTAGAGAATAACACAAACAAAACAAAAACAGATGATAGGGGAGCCACTGGTATTGGTACCAGTGAGTAGTGGTAGCGTACCAATAGCGCTAGTAGTAGAGACTAAAACAAAAAATCAGATCTGGAAAAAAATAGGGATGAGGAAAGAGGGAGGCAGGGAAGAGGTCTTGACCTCGCGGCGGCGGCGGGGATAGCGGCACGGCAGGGCGGCAGGGACAACAAGCGCGGCGGAGGTCAGGGGTGGCGGTGGGAGGAGGAAGGGGAGGGCTTTGAGGAAGGGGATTGAGGGAGGAGAGAGAGACGGCTTTGAGGAAGGGGATTGAGGGAGGAGGAAGGGGAGGGCTTTGAGGAAGGGGATTGGGGAAGGAAGCGAATGTGGAGGGAGAAGGCGGTGGAGGCGGGGAAGGGTAAGTTGGGATTGGTGGTGGTTGGGGTAACGGGGAGTTGGGATTGGTGGTGGTTGGGGTGCCGGGGGAGGAGGAGAAAGGGAGCTTGGCCGGTGAGAGAGGGAGGAGAGATAGTGATGGCTACGGGAGAGAGGAATGAGAGAGAGGGAGGATGGAGGAGTTAGGGTTTTTTTCTTTTTATATGGTAGGGTGAATGATTGGGTGTGGTAAATTTTTACCCTTCCAAAAATACCCTTCCTTTAATCTTAACCGTTAATTTAAAAAAAGAAAAAAAAAACAGGAAAGAGAACGTATCCAAGGGCTATGAAGTGGGTTGTGAATCTGACAACCCCCAAAGGGGTTGTCACCGTATCCCGTCCCCACAACAACATATCAACTTGGAGTACGCCTTTCCGTGGAGGCCAAGATAACAGGGACAGCCGCCACTACGCCACCAAATGTTTTTTTTTTTTGTCTTTTAGTTTGTCTTTACTTGAGAGGAACTAAAACAAAGCCAGTTTACTTCTTCCCTTAAAACAACTCAAATCTCAATCTAATCAAAAGTTAAAAAAAAAAGTAGACAACATCAAATCCCAATAAAAGGATAATGTTTGGTTCATATTACTACAACCGTTAGGGTTTATATGCATAATATGGGTAAATAACAAACATTTACATGATCTTGTCAAAATATGACAATTCAAAGCTCTTACAAATAGACTACTTCATTGTGTTCATCTTTTTGTTTATTCTCGTTTCAAAGGAGAGAAAAAACTAGAGGTAGTAGACTTTTACTTGGTCAGGTAAATCACCAGGGATCAAATCATGGCAGGCATATCAAATTCATCCTGAAACAGAAGCTCCTGAAGGAGGGGATTCCAGGCGGATATAGTCATACATAATACCCTGGAAAGGGCTAGTAGCTCTTGGCTGACTCAAATATATAGTGTTACTCCCTGCAGCAAGCTTCACCCCGGCAACATCCACATTGAACAGCCAATACAATCCATGAATTCCATGCCTTGCTATTGAATTATCCTTCCCTATCAGCCCACTTGAAAAGATCGGCCCCGATTTCGGGTCGTTCACCCGAACCTGCAAAAGTATAGAAGATGTAACGTTTACTTAGTTCATTCACAGAGTACCAAGTCTCAGCAGGGGAAATGTTGAACTCATATTCTACTTGAAGTTCTGAGTAGGTGGCAGAGGCAATCGCGACTCGCAACTTGTAGATTCCGTTGTGATCCACGTCTGCGAGATTGAACTTGATCTGCCATGTGGTTCCTTGATATGTGCTGTTGTCTTTCCTCCTGTAGGAATAGAAGTGTCAGGATTTCAGGACAGGGGCATGTGAGACTTGACTTGACAGAGCTACTTTTATTACCTGGTGACTTGAGCGAAAAACCAATCTTTAGTGTAATCACTAGCTCCAACGTTGTAAACCAAGTCGGCATCAGGGTATAATTCACCATATCTCTCCCACAGTCCATACTGCCTAAACCTGAAACATTCCTGGAGTTTCAGAAACTTTGCATATTGACTGACTGCTGGAGTTTTCTTTTGTCCAATTTTTGCTTACTTTTCAGGATGATTGACCAAGAGCTTGTTGATGTACTTGGGATTAGGATCAGGAACGTAGAACTCCGACGCAGAACGATCAGGAACTCCTATTTCCCACAAGGTGGGACCATTTCTCGGAGGCTCAAACACAAGATCACCCATGTCAACATAACAACCTACAACATCAACAAAACCAAACAAACAAATGTTGAAACAACCGTTCTACCAGTTAATCAGGTTACTAGGAGGAACGAGTTCTTGACCATCACCAGCAGGAATCGAGAACAATGAGTACCTGAGGTTATTGAAACAGTGGCATCACAGCGATAGTCTCCAACGAAGCCTGGCACCCAAGCGTAGAGATTATAGTCGCCTGTCAGCACATTGTTGATGGAGAAAAACCCATCTTCGTCCGCTTTGGTCCAGAATTGATACTTCTGTTGTAGCCAGAAATCACCAAGGTAAACAAGACGTGGAAGGTAATTCTGGGGAAACAATGAATTTGTTACAGGATTAATTAACAAAAAAAAAGGACCTTGCATTCTCTCTGCCATGATCCAACATCTCCTGGTGGAGCCAATCCTACATAGGCTCCACTGGCATATATGTAATCATCCGAAACAAACCTGTCACCAAAAATTAATCAACTTGTTCAGCAGAAACCCATGATCATTATTCAGTACTGCTGGAAATTAACTTTGGAGTTGGGGTTTAGGGTTAATATAGAAATGATGGGGGGTAAACCTGTCCTGAACCAGGAGCCTGCCGGTTGCATAGCCGCGCTGGTCAGGTTTCTGGTAGTCTTCTGAAGCTGGGAATGTGTATGGCCAGCTTAGGACCTCAACCATCATCTGAAGTATCAATCAGCCACCAAATTGAAAATCATCATCTTCAGGACAACTTCTTAGAGTATAAATATGAACATAGAGAGTAACAACATTACTGGACCTGAGCCTTGGCATCCTCCCAGAGTGAAGCTTTAGGATCCTCACTTGCATCTACAGGAGTGGTGTTGAAGTACATAAAAACCGGTCCAAACACTTTCTCCCATTCCTCACCATCTCCAATTTTAGGCACCAGGTCTTCCCCGCTATAATGAGCACTTATGAACATCTGAAACCCACCACTTTTTTCCAAAATTCAGAACAATATTCGTGACCCACCAAACAACACGAGTAATTACTGGGATCTAGTGTACTAAAATTCAGAATGAACGAGTAGTGACTTAACTGCCAAGGTAGTTGGTCCCACATGGGAGGTCAGGTTCTGCTTGACAGGGCCGCCTGATCGAAACTCGTCGCTCGGGGTGATCTGCCAGAACCCTACGGGAGGGTCCGTGCAGATCCACCCATGGACCTTGTTATCCTTGTTGTCACACGAGTACTGGTACTTGTCGTCCACCTCGCCTTTGAGCTCAGCCTCCACAGGGTTTACCAGCTGCACTGCTTCAGGGTAAGCCAGGGGCTGCCCTCTGGGAGGGATCCTGTCATCCGGGAGGGGCATATACCTCTGCCTGTTGTCGGATGCCACCATGTAGTGAAACCTGCAACCAAAGATACCAAAATGCTAATCATCTCCACTCTTTTGTCAGGGTTGGTGAAAAAAAAGGTGAACTGACTTGTCTTTTCTGAGCTTGAACGCAATTCTCGTCTCTGCCAGGCTGAAAGCAGGCCAGTCTTTAGGGTGGTTGTAGATGGCGTAAGAGTAGAAGCCCGAGCTGCCCCTCAGCATAATGAACCTTTTGTCTATGTTGAGTGGAACCTGCTTCCCTTGAAGTGAAGGATCCCATGTCCTTGTGAAGGACACCTCCACCTGATCTTCTGTTTCGGTTATCACTTCGAAACTCGTACCCTTAATCCTGCACACGGATGGATCTTGTTCGCTTATCATCACAAATTAAGGCCACAAGAACGAAAGAATTAGTGTGCAAGAAATGAGATTGGAGAGTGGAAGAGTGCGTACACGTCGAAGATTCCTGCAGTCCCTGGGGAGCTCCATACCAGGTCCCAATACCTGCAAAACAAGTTCCACCAGCAAACAAGTTCAATGGCTACCGAACATTCATTCCATAGATTGAGAATACACATTTGCATACCCTCGATTGGATTCCTGGTTAAGGACTTCAAGCAGATTGTCGAGGCCACCAAAACGAATACCTGTCACTATTCCATCAGGATTCGACAGTGTCACTTGCAGGAACCCATTGTCTAGCACCACCTGCAAAATATATATATATAACCCAATTCACCACCACATTTAAACCACGCAATAATTAACATTCTGAAAATCAATCAATAATAAAAAAAAAAATGTACAACAAGCAAAAAGTTAGAGAGAATTTTGGTCCCATTACATGACGATCCTGTACATGGAGTTGTACTCCAATGGTAGCTGCCATGGTGATCGATGCTTACATACAAATGTGACTTATAAGTGTGTGTCGATATATATACACAAAAGAGACGACAGGAAGGGGTTTTGCTTAACAAAGATATGAAGCATTCTTTTCTACACTCAACCCATAAAGAAAATCTCCACTTTCTTTTTACATGTGGATTGATTTGATGTCTTTATAAATGGATGATGTTATATAATGATGGATTCGTAAAACTACTTTTGTTCAGTTCAATTGTATTAGAAAAGTTTCTGTACGATTTTTACCCTCAAGCATTTGAGATTACTTTATGTTGATACAATTGGAAATTATATATATATATGGCAAATAAACGCTAGCGTCTGTTTACCTTACCTTAGCGTATACCCATCGAATTTAGTTATTTAGGACATGAATTAACCAAAGATCAAAATAAATATTGAGATTGATCAGAGCTCGTAAAAATATATCTAACGGTCATATCCAAACTTGGAGTATACTATATACCAATCATTAGCATATATATATTTACTAGTGGCTCAACACCAAGGTCAAAATCTAACACGGCAGCCGCTAAATGAAATCTTATTAGCAAATATATCTCACTTTAATTGCAGTCACTAACCTTCACATTCGACCAAACAATTTCTACTTATATTAATTATATAATATTGTTTTGGTTGTTTTTGACCAATGTGTAAATATTACTTAAACTAAGTATCTCTTGACTTCGTCGCTACTCGGATGCACATCGTCATCCACCATGCCGCCGCCCCACAAACATAAAGAGGTATCTTGTAATTGTGGGTAATGGCGTGCAAGAAATGGATTTATATATATATATTTTCTTTTGTGAGGAATTGTTGATTCATGAGGTGGCAAAAGATTGATTCATAGATTGGTGGTGGATCCATGTATTAAATGGATTGTATCCAATGGATTGGTGGATTTATGGATTGAATCAAGTGGATTGGTGAATTATCCATGAATTCAAATGACATCCTCAACCAAGGACCAATATATAAAATGTGAAAAGTTTAGGTACTAAAATATCATAATGAAAATTTTTAGGTACTAAAATATCATAATGAAAATTTTTAGGTACTAAAACGTAATTTTCCAATGATGTTTTTTGCATACAAAATTAAATTTTGGGTACCAAAATGTAAAAGATAGTATAGATACTAAACCGTAATTTGCCATTTGGATCCATGGATCAATCCACCAATCCAATTGGATTTGGATCAAATGGATTGGATTTAAATGGATTGGATTAGGTGGATATTTTTCATGGGTTAGTGGATTGGATTGGTGGATTGGATTGAGAATTGTCACCTCTAAGTCATGGTAGTTACTCAAACCAATTTTAGTGATGAGGTAAAAAAAATTGTGCAAAAAAGGGTGTAAAGTGGCGCTATAGTCTAGCTTTTAAATATTAATAACTGAATCGCCATTTGTCGCTCTAAAATTTAAAAAATCGCCCTAAACCATACTAAATTGACACATATACCTCTAACTTCAAACTAAACTAATTACTAAACCCTGGCAAACATCGTTCCCCCACCCCAAAACGGACTTCAGAATCTCGGCAAAAAGGTCGTCGTCCACCACAGAATCGCTATCCGCCGCCGATCCAATAACTCCTCCCGTCGCGTTGTCCTGTTGGCGCATTCCCTCCCGCCGCGCCCTATTCTTGTGTTGTTGCTGTCGAGAAGAAGGAGAAAGGAGGACGAAGAAGATGGTTGCTCCCCGCCGCTGCTGCTGTCGCCAAAGTCGCTCCCCGCCGCCGCTATTCGTCGTTGTTGTCGATCAGGACGAGGAAGACGGCCCCTTGATCCGCCGCCAAAAGGAAGAAAAAGACGCGCAGTAGAACAATGCATTTTAACTCTTATATTTTTTTTTTTTGTTGGTTGGCATCTCGACGGCGACGTCCGGCGTTGCTGTGTAGGCGGGTTTTGAACTGGGTTGTTTTATTTTTTAATAATTATTGTTGATTATTGTAAATATAATTAAATTGTGTGATTTAATTAGTAAACTAATATGTGATTTATGAAAAAAAATATGTGATTAGAACTATGATGACCTAAATTGTTTTAAATGTTATTGTGAGTGGTGACGACGATGATGCCTCCGGTGAGGGCTATTGGCTCCGGTACGAGTTGATATATGTGTTTGTTTATGGGTTTAAGTGATTGAAAGACAAAAAATTAAATAAGGACATTAAAGTAATTTAATATAATTAGGGCGTTGAATAAGGATTTTTCGGGCGATGAATAGCAATCTCCATTAATAATATATTGAGTTTGAACTCCAATTGAGTCAAAATACAACCAATATCTCAAATGAGGGCTAGGGTTCTCGAAAACATGCACCCAATAGGTAAAGAGTGACCAACCGATGCAAATAGTCTGCCATAAAATTAACTTCCCTAAACACATGATTAAACGTTACTGCCGACTCCCTCTTCAGCATCCAACGGATGGAAGATGTCAATGTGTGATGGGGATGGCAAGAAGTAGCCGAATGGATCATCGAAAGAGTTGTAGAGGAGTTAGTCTGAAGGACTACCTTACGGACGCCCAAATCCCAAGCAATCTGTAAGCCATTTGCGATACTTGCCAGCTCTGCATGCGTTATGGAGCCACCTCCTAGGTTGATCGAGTAAGCCCCCACGAGTCGTCCATTTCTATCACATAGCACTGCCACTGCCACCGAGCTGCCTTTTGCTAAAGTTACGAAGCCATCGGTATTAACACAAATACAATCCTGCGGTGGTCTCCGCCAGCTAATTAGGCTCAACGTACTTGCAGTTCCACCATCGTAACAAGCCTCCCTCTGTTGAGAGCCACTGTAGCTTGGTCCCATAGTTTTTTGGCCATCTGAATCAGCTGATTCGCCCGTGCTAGCTTCTTATCAAAAACACATAAGTTAATGTTCTTCCACATCTGCCAGCATAGTATCGCAAAAAGCGACGGGTCAATAATAGTACTCTTATCCTATAGGTAGTGCATCGCCCATTTTGTCACATCCTCCTCAAAAAATATACGATTTGGCTCCCCCACTAGTATCGCCAATCTAGCATAAAGGGCGGTCCCTAATGACACGAATGACTGTTTTAGGTCCACCACCACATAACGGGCAATAATCTAACGTAGCCATATGCTTCCGACAACAGTCAGCACTCGTGAGAAGCCTACTATGTAGCACCAACCAGAAGAATGATCTAGTACGTTGAGGTCCTTGAATCCTCCAAGTAGTATTCCAAACCTGATGCTGCTCCCGAAATTCCTCCTTACCCCTGGATAAATCATATGTGGCATGCAGTGTGAAGAGCCCTGAGCCGAGAATCTCCAAATCAGGGTGTTCGATTATGTTTTTCACATAACAGGATGAAGCTGCAGCTGGAACACTAAGGCCTCTGGGAGGAATGCCCACATGTAATACAAGTTCCATTCCCTATTCGGTACTACCTCTGCAACACACAAGTTTCCTGCTACGGCGGGGATGTCGATGGTGAATTATGCTAGTGGCGGCCCATCCTGTAATCATTGATCCATCCAGAAGAATGCTTGCCAGTGGCGGACCCAGAAATTTTTCATAGGGGTGTCCTCTTTTAAAAATAAATTAAATAAAAATAATTAATAAAAATAAAATCGTAAATTTGAAAATACCTTACTCGTACAGGTTACAAAAGTCCATGATTTGTTTTCATATTCAGAAATAATTGTAGAATACACTTGGTGTCTATATAGTGTTAAAAAAATTGTCTCTATATACCCTACTAGACAATCATTCACGAACTTATGGCATATTCGATTTTCAACACTTGCCGTATTAAGGGTAGCTTGAAATTAGTTTAACTGTTAGGTTTTTAAAATAATTAGAGATAGAAAATGACATTTTACTATTACATTTTTCAGAATCGAACAACAAATGAGTTGTAGGTCAACGAAAATTAAGTTTATTAATAAGAATAATGTTCTAGATTTGAATTACACAATATACCACTTATATTCCTATACACAAATGACTGTAGGATAATCATGTTTTCAAATTTCAAGGGTGTCCCTCACTATCAAATTTTTTTTTTTGGTCCATACGTAAATTACCACCGGGGATTGGATAATCGTATTCCTAAAATTTAGGGGTGTCCGGTGACACCTCTAAAACCTCCTGGGTCCGCCCCTGATGCTTGCGTGCCACTTCTTATATTCCACATAGTCCCCTCCATAGATTAGACAAGCGGCCATTCCTTATGGGTTGCAAAACATCATCTATCTCCATGAGATACTTCCATTGAATGACTCGATCCCATAGGTTGTCCTGCTCTGTGAATAGTCTCCATGCAATCTCGATCATAAAGGTATCGTTCATCCTCGTGGCACTCCTCAACCCTAGTCCTCCTTCTCCCTTTGGTTTACACCGCGTGTCTCAATCATAGTAGTCAAAATCCCGATTTAAATCCTAAAATCTTACGATTTTACTAACCTATTCCGATCTTGATTTCAGTATAAAATCTATGGACCTTAAAATCCTACACTATCCATTATTTAGATCCTTAAAATCTTTAAAATGTTACGATTTTACGATTCACATCTTTGGGTCAATTCTATTTATTTTCCCCCGAATTTGTAAAATTATCCCTCTTTTACTTCTCACCCATGAACATCATGGAGTTCTGAGTTCTCACACACTGACCATTATCGACCATCATCAATTTACATCAACATATTAATCATCAACGATTCACCACTTCCCGACATTAACCTCAATAAATTGAAACATTAAACTAGAGAAATTATCATTGTAAGTGTTATGTGATTTTGTGTAATTCATGATTTTCCTGAGGGCTAATACCACTGGGAAACCTGAACTATTAACTTTGTGCCATTTGTGTCCTAAAGTATTCGATATGACAATTGTGTCCCAAACTATTTTCCCATTAGAGTTGACCAATATTGATCGTTAATTTTTAACAGAAAGTCGAGTCAGCGCTGAGGTGGCATCTGAAGTGGAATTTATAATATTAATT